GATTTTTTTTTTTTTTTTTTCAAATAAACCGCATCGCGCGTGGAACGTCGGGGGATCACGAAAAGATTACCGCGTGTCTATTTCGTTTTTCCCGTTCTTCGCCAATTTTATTGTGGGCGAGGGAAATATTTTTTAAACGGGCCTCCCTTTGATCGTCCACCGTTTCTGTATCCACCTGTTTTGCATACAAACGTATATATATATAAACGAGACGCGAACCTTTCTCTCTCTCTCTCTTTCTTTCTTTCTTTTTTGAAGAAATTGAAAGAGAAGACGCACGAATTTAATTTAACGAGACCGAGTGGAGAGAAAGGAAAGGAAGAGGAGAGAAACTTCGTATCGATCTCGGAAGCGAGCTCGTTGGCCGCGTGATTCGAAAAGTTAGCATCGTAAAAAAATCTCCATCCCTTATTTCGGACTTCAAACGAAAGTCAGAGATACAACCAGCGTAAAATGCGGAATCTACGTAGCCCATAAACTCGTTTCGAATAGGAAGCCATCAAATACGAAAGGGGGGAGGGGGCTTCCCCCGGGCATATTGGGTCAGGATGATACAAAGTTTCGAATCTGTGTAGCTCTCTCTCTCTCTCTCTCCTCCCCGCCGGACTCATCCTTCGAACGGTTACCCAAGATGAATTTCCATCATTTGCATTTCTATGATGCGATCCATCGACGTTTTCCACGTTTCACGGGAACCAGATTACGCGAATTTCCGTTGGTAACGGATCCGATCGGATCCTTTCCTTCTATTCGCCCTTCCCTACTTCCGCCGTTTCGCCCTTTTATTCCCGGATTGCACTTTTCAACCGGCTAATCTCGGTCTTCCGCGGGGAAGAATCGACCTCGAACTCGGCGCGAATGAAAGAGATGCGGCGGGCAAGGCTTCGAGAACGAGCGTAACGAGTGAACTTCCTCGGGGAATATGGGAAATCAAACTCCATTTGTTGAAGCAAGATATTTGGAAAAGGGGCCTAGCATAACGTAACCGATTGGAATTCCTTGTTTGAACGAGCAACGTTTAAAAACGCGTGAATATCTTTCGAGTATGGAGTATGGAATGGGACAAAGGAAGAGGATCTCGAATCAAAGCTACGATACGATTCTAAAAATCATCGAAGGGAATCGTTTGGGGATAATCGAGGTTGGGCCTTCGAAGAAACACCTACAACCTCGCCTACGATCTTCGAGCACGGGAAATGATTTCAAGGAAAAGGAATCATTCGAAAGGGACGAGGAGGAGCACATTGTCCGCGAAATCTTTATCGAATCCGATATTCTTTCGATGTCCTTTTTCGATCCCGTTGAAAAATTACAGGGATTCGCTGCGTACTTCGAGCGTCGCTCGACACTCGAATCGGACGATAACGTCCCTTCTTTCCGTACGTAATCGCGCGTCGAATGACATTCTCGCTACGAAAATGGCTGGAATGTCCCTCGCTACGAAACTATTCTCCTTGGAGAGATTCCAGCAACTTTTCGAACAGCGATACATCGCTGTTCTCTCGTCCATCGAGAGGCAACGGATTCGAATCGACCGAGTTTATCATCGGGGAAGGAATTCGCAGGAATGCTCTTTGCTTGAGAGAGATCCCTCTTCGAGGTTCTAATATTTAACAGACGCTCGTTTGTTGACGAAAAGGGTACACGCTTCGCCTTCGTTCGTTCGTGTCAAAGGGAATCGGATCTCTCGCGCGTGTCTGTGTGTGTGTGTGTGATCGAGGGTGCGATATTTAAAGAGAATTTATCCAACACGTTACGAGGGATAAAAAGCGACTTGTTAATCGACTTACTCAGCGTGGCGTTGTTGGCACGTGACTGGTCGGTTTGCGACCTGAGTAATCGCAACCGATTCAGTTTGCTTTGTTGTTGGTCCAACCTGTGCCTCAATCTGGCGAGTTTGTCCTGCTGTGCTGGCTCCTGAAACAGCAAATACCGGTCATTGAATGCGGGAAGGGGAAGGGGTGGAGGAGGATGAATACCAGCCACCAAAGTGAATACGGGGCTAATGAATGGAACGGATAGTAAAGTAAAGGGGGGTGGAGCGTTGCAATATTTCAGATACGGCTACCGAATAAGAGGAGAGTATTTTAGTTAAAATATTAACGCCACTCGCCAAACGAGCAAATTACACGGAAACGAGCTCCCTTCCTAACCGACTAACAACCAATTTCAAAGGATCTTCCCTAATCGTTACACGCATTCTCCCCGCATACCATCGTCCAATGAAAACCAGATCTCCTCTTCCGGAGATCTTCTCTAAAATTTAACGCGGAATTTAACAGTGTTGCGACCAGTAGTAGACCAGTAGGTCCAGTAATCTCTCCCCGAGAACGTTAACCGTAAATTACAGCTTTCCGCGTGGAAACTGCAAGATTTGCTCCTTGATACTGAAATCTTTTCTTTTTTTTCCTTTTTTTTGCTTTATGCAGCGTACGTAGTGTCGATCGTTAAAAAGTCCCCCATGCTTAGAAGAAAAGCTAGTCGTCCTTGCTTGCGAAGGAACGAATGGAGGATTCGAGCGTGGCTGAAACTTTCTACGTCTTTTGATCTACGTCGAGGGAAATAGAGACGCCGAGGATTAAAGTTTTCGAGTCTGAGAAAATCGTGTCCAGTCCTGTCGCCTCGGTTCTACTCTCGTATTACTTCCAATTGGCGAGGAATTTGCCATCTCCGCGTATACAGTAGTTCTTGCGCTCGATTTTCTCGAGATGAGACGCAAGACCTTTGTTTAAACGAGAAGAAGAATCTCGATGATCGATGGATAATTTTTCTTTTTTTTTTCTGGTATTTTTCTTTTCTTGGTCGGAATTGAGCGAGGCGCGAGAACCGTTGTTGCAAAGTAATGAATGGAAGATCAGACTGACGTCATTTAACGACGAGAGAGAGAGGTGGTGAGCGGAGGTGAGCGCGACTCGACGCTCTTAATCTCGTTAATATCGTAGAAGAAGAGGCTCGTTACACGCGCGTCGAGTGCTAAGCACACGAGGAAGCGTCGTCGTCGTCCTCGCCGAGAATTCAACGCGTTACGCGCTTAACTAGCTCGCTACAGGGTGCGAGTCGAGTCGAGTGGACCCGATTAAAATCGCGCGTCTAAGCGGATCCGGGTTTAACCGGTGATTTGAACGCCTCCAACCCTCGTCGATACCAACGCCATTTCGCCTCGTTTGATACGGACGGATTTTATCTCAAATTATCTCGATCGTTTCTCGAGTAGTAGAAGAGAATTACTTCCATGTTCCACGAGTGTAACGACGATTATGTATCGCGTCCATCAAAAATTATTTCCTCAAAAGTGTTTTTCAAGGTGTACGCAGTGTGAAGGCATCGCTCGATGAAGTTTTATCATGGATTAAGTTTCATTCCAACTTTATCCTCGTACAGAAAGTTTTCACGAAAGGGAACGAGTGGAGCAACGATACATCATTTCTCGACGTAATCGCTATCGATCTCTCTCACTCTTTCTCTCGCTCTTTTCAACACGGAATCTCCATGATCGGAGGTTCAGGATCAAGGTCATCATGGTTACCAAAGCTAACGGTAGGCGCATTGGCTTCGCTCCATCTTTTGTTCGGTTCCATTACGCGGAACAGGCATACGCGAATTCATCAACGATAATCGCGGCGTAATCGATGCTGTTCTCCGAGGAACGCTCTTAGGATTCCTCTCGGCCGAGCGTTGATTCCTCAAACACGGGGAACTCGACCGCCAAGTTACTCTCAAAAAAAGAAGAAGAAGAAGAAGAAGAAGATTGACAATGCTGGATGAATGTAATTGCCGGTTGCCCTTACGCTCGATCTTGCGCTCCTTCCAATGATAGAAACCCGCTAATTATTTACCACCCGTGTATAGCAGGTGTTCTCCACAATATCTCGCACGATTCCTCGAGGTTATTCCCTTCCAACTCTCTCTCTTTCTCTCTTGACAATTTGCTTCGAAAGAAAATCGAAGGAGGGTGAAACGAAACAAGATGTGAAAAGAAAAGAGCAAGGAATACCTGTTAATCGAGAATTACGCGATTCTTGGTCGCATTAACACGATGGCTGGTGGCGGGCGAGGACGCGTGGTGGATCTTCCACGGGATGACGAGGCCGGGCCTCGAGAATGGACAGTTATCTGTCCGATAATAGGCATAAACTGTTCCCCAGTCTATTATTAGTTTGAATTATTCATGACGCGAATGTTCCGCTTCTCGTTGACAGGAAGAACGAGTCGCGGGGAGGGAAGGGGAGGATCGATGAAAGTTGGGGATCATTTCGAGATTTTATATCGCGGGAAACGAAGGTTCTTTACGAGCCGTTTTATCGTCGTTCACCAGCAGTAAACGGCTAAACATTGAATTCCGACTAAACAACAAACACGGGATTGTACGCGAGTTGTACTCCACCAAGTTAAGCACTTGGGGAAATTTTGTTATTACGCTCTTTGCGAAAAAGTGTACGCCGTGACCATCATCGTCGTCGTCGTCGTCGTCGTCGTCGTTGTCGTCGATTCGCTACGTGCGCGAGAGAAAGAACCTTCTCTTTTAAAAAAAATATCGGATTAAAATTTTTGGATAATACTTGGAACGCGTGTATTAAAATTGGGAACGGATCCACCCACTCGATGGTGGATATTGATTTTTGATAAATATAAAAAAGCGGATGTAAGCACGGCGAAAAATGCACGGCGAAATGGCTGTGCATATTGACGACAACACTTGTGCCGAATGGGAGAAGCCGGATATATGAAAAACTTTTTTTTTTTGAAAAATATTCGCCAAGCAAACAGCGAATCTTTGTACGTTCATCCGCTTCGAAATATATATGCGATATGCTAGAGAAACTTGTATGAAACGATATACGATGTAATGAAATGATACACGATGTATGGACGATGTACGGAGACAGAGGGAAAAGTTTGAAGATGGAATC